GCCAATTGGAACAAGAGGTACTTCAACGTGTAGTTCTAGCTCCGTAAAGATGAAGTTTTAAATTCTCATAATAGTTTTTCGATGTATCAGAAGTTTAACTGCTCCAATAAATCGAGACTATATAATATTAAAGGAAGCATTTGAAAATTTACCCTGAAGGTTAACAAAGGTACTGTTCAAATTATCAAAAAAAAATCTCTGCTTTTTAAATTCTTCATTCTTAATTTATGGGCAACAAGTATAGATATAAGTATTTAATAATTGTTCTATTGTATTTAAAAATAAATAAATTTTTAAATTTTATATATAACCCACTACTTTGAACATTGGACCTTAGACCCTGTACTTCGACCTCAGTCAAGTCTTTGTTCTGTACGACGCAGTTCGCAATAATTGTTATAGCTCTTTGATATACCAAAAGTTAAACTGCATCTTCTAAGCAATAGTGATTGTTAAACTATTTTAAAAAGTATGGGAAATTTTACGCTGCAATTCAGAAATAAGGTACTGTTCAAATTATAAAATAAATATTACTGCTTGCTAAATTAACCGATTCTTAATTTATATAGTATAAGCAATGAAATAGATATTCAATAGTTGTTCAAATATGTTATAAAATAACTAAATTTCTTTATTGTCTATTTGCGTAGTACTTTGAACAATGTATCCAACACTTGTATTTCTTTTCTCTGAGCCCAGTCGCAGTTCTGTTGTAATTGTTATAGCTCTTTGATAAATCAAAAGTTCAACTTTATCTTCAAATGAACAGAGACTTTTAAACTATTGAAGTAAGTAATGAAAACTTACGCTGTAATTTAGGAAAAAGGTACTACTCAAATTATAAAATAAATATTATTGCTTATTAAATTAACCAAACCTTCATATATTAGCTACAATCATGAACATACATATTCAATAATGGTCAAATTATGTTAGGAAATAAACAAACTTTTAAATTTTAATATAGCCCCACTACTTTGAACATTGTACCCTACACTTGAACTTCGCCCTCAGCCCAGTCTTTGTTCTGTACGACGCACTTCGCAATAATTGTTATAGCTCTTTGATATACCAGAAGTTAAACTGCATCTTCTAACCAATAGTTATTGCTAAACTATTTAAGAAGGTAAGGGAAATTTTACGCTGGAATTCAGAAATAAGGTACTGTTCAAATTATAAAATAAATATTACTGCTTGCTAAATTAACCGATTCTTAATTTATAAAGTATAAGCAATGACATACATATCCAATAGTTGTCCAAATATGTTATAAAATAACTATATTTCTTTATTTTCTATTTGCGTAGTACTTTGAACAATGTATCCAACACTTGTATTTATTTTCTCTGAGCCCAGTCGCAGTTCAGTTGTAATTGTTATAGCTCTTTGATAAATTAAAAGTTCAACTTTATCTTCAAAAGACTAAAAGTCTTTTAAACTATTTAAGACAGAAATGAAAATTTACGCTGTAATTTAGGAAAAAGGTACTACTCAAATTATAAAATAAATATTATTGCTTATTAAATTAACCAAACCTTCATATATTAGCTACAATCCTGAACATGCATATTCAATAATGGTCAAATTATGTTAGGAAATAAACAAATTTTTAAATTTTAATATAGCCCCACTACTTTGGACATTGTACCCTACACATGAACTTCGCCCTTAGCCTAGTCTTTGTTCTGTATCGACGCACTTCACAATAAATGTTACAGCTCTTTGATAAATTAAATATATTACGACTTCTCGGAAGAATATTGATTTTTAAACTGTTAGAGTGTAATGAAAAGATTTCTCTACAATTTAGAATTCAGATATAGTTCAAATTGTAACATAAATTTTATTGTTTGTTAAATTAACCAATTAATTTATGTACGTACAAGCACGGATATGCATATTTAGTAATTTTCCTGTTGCCTTGAAAAAAAAAAGATATATTTTTTTAGTTCATTATAATTGCTTCTAAACTTCGAACTTACAATTTGTCTTGCCACAGCTATGTACCAATGCATATCGCAAACTTTAATAATATAATAACAGTTTGTTAACATTTAATTCGTTATTGTTCATAAACTATCTGATTAATAACACAACATTTTCAAACAGTATAAAACAATTTACTTAAATATAAAAATTAGTAATGCAGCTTAAATTGATATGTTTATTTGTATATACGCGCAAGTGTTACAAAAATTTAACAATTCTTTAATTAATTAAAATTTAAAAAATAAGTAAGTTAAATTATGTTCTGTATAAATTATAAATAAAAATATTTGAATTCTGACTTCCACTTGACTAGTTAACTCGGAACATTGTAGTATGTCTCTGTTTATTCTCAACTTTTTACAGATACAGTTCGCAATAATAAAAAAACGAAGGTTTTTTTTCTGGTTATTTATCTATGAAAGCAACACAATAACCTTTTATGCAATTCAGAAATGAGATATTGATTTAGTTTGTGTCGATGTACTTCGTTGTTTATTACATTAATATTTACCAAGAATGAAGTGCAATGTCTTTATAAGTTTAAAATAAAAGGTACCAACTAAATATTAATACTTTTTCATTTCAAAATATTACAAACTGAGTTCAACAATAAGCAATATTTGTACATACAAGACACCGTTATAAATAATAAAGGAAATATAAACACATATACATTATAATATACAAATATATATATATATTTAGAAAATCATTATTAAAAATAATTTTTTTTTAAATCTCTTCTTTTTAACGTACCTTCAATGTTCATCACAACTTTGATTATTGTTTCTATTATTTATACCTTATTCTCTATTATCTATTCCTCATTGCTTCCCATGTTTCCTCACATTAACAATATTGTTCTTTGTAGTATTGTAATGTATTATTATTATCTAATTGTTTTTAATTAATATTTTTTACTTTGCAGGACCGAAATCTACCACTGACGTACTTTCTGCAGGCTCAAATGAAATTTTTCTGAAGAAGACACCACAACTATGTACGATTTGTATTGGTGTACAAAAAAGCTGAGGTACATCGCTTATGTGAAGTAAGTGAATAATATTAATATATATTAATATTTTACAATTTATATCTTAAGTAGCCTACATTGTTCAACTTTATTTGTTATTTATTTAATAATAGTATTTTATTATAATTTAAAAATCACCAATGATTTTTATTTGGATAAACATATTTTACTTAATAGATTAATGTTGCTTTTAGATAGGCCCATCTAAAACATATCTCATAAAATCATCTGTTCACAAAATGATTAATTTCAAATAAAAAATTATTGCAAGTTGATTAAATAATTAATTGTTATATTTATTTTTTCTGTTCCTAGGAATCACTGGAAAGCCAATTCATCCGGCTAAATCTAAGAAGCTAGAAGCCTACAGGTACTCTTTACCACTGAGGGTGGAGTATTCGGTAGAAGAGCTGCGAAAGATTCTTCGACTCACTGGATGGCCGAAGATTCTTCTCGGTGGACTGAACGATTCGCTCTCTGGAGGACCTGGCAGGCCATCTACTGAAGTTCAGCTCATTCCCTCGTGAGTGTAGAGCCGTCCTCGATCTCACAGGATGGTCGAAAGATTCGAATCCAGCTCTTTGGTGTTCGGCTCATCTCGGAAAGAGTCCACAGTCATCAGCGTTCTTCAAGTCCTCAACTTTCTCTGGACCCTTCGCTCCGGAATTTTTCTCCTTTTTCCGGATCTTCTTGTCTCCTTCCCGAGTCTATCTCTCGAGGTTACTTTTACTCGACCAGATGTCGTGTTGTAGCAGGAGAATCAAAGGAAGAAGAGATCGAAGTACTCCGCGATCCGTCGTGTTTGGGAATTCGAATCGTATCATCGAAGCGATGTCGCTGCTACTGAGCAGTTCTCGCGTCACAGTTGTACACGAAGGAGAACATCGCTCAACTAGTGGGAGTTGAAACTAATAATAGTACTGTGGTGGTTGTTATTATCTTATTTTAGGGATACATTATTTACCTAGCCGTTGGTTAGATATTCTCTTCTGGGTCTTTTGTGACCATATATCCCTTAGCAACCTACTGCTATTATATTAGCCTCACAACAATCACCGCAACCACCACTACTTAAATTTCACTGGAGTTATAACTGCATCTGCTTGGATTTCAATGATATCATCTATTTACAATTGCAGATGCATCTTTTAAAAATTAACTGTGAAAACTATATACATATATATATATATATATATATATATATATATATATATATATATATATACATAAATAAATAGTTTATTTCTTTTCACCCCAAACATTTGAAAACTCATTGATGCTCTATTCCTAGCCCAGTATTGGCTTTTATTAGTCATGGTTCAAAGTCTCATTTTTCAGGCGCTAAAGGAAATCAAACCAAGCTAGATATAGTGAGAGATATTAAATTTGAGGGATAGTTTGGTTTGATGTTTTACTAGTAACTGAGGATGAGCTCTTTTCCAAATACACTAATAGCTAAAAAGCCAATGACCTAAGAACTATCTTGTATTATTTATTTGAGATAGTTACCTATTCAGTAGGTTTAGTCTCAATTATGAGTAATGTAGATTCATACTTTTTTTATTATTTCTGTCGGTAGTTCCTAAATGGACATAACATTTTATCATGAAATGATTATATTATTTCCTCGATCAAAAGCGAACTAGGAAAACAATTAAAAATATATTTTTTTAAGCAGTATCTGATCATAATTCTTTTAATCAACGAAATTTTAAGATTCCGTATTTTAAACGAAAATTCTTACAAAAATTAGGTTTAATATTTTTTAAGTTTAGTTTCGACTCCTGTTAATTGAGCGATGTTCTTCTACATGAACAACAATGACACGAAAATCGCTCAGTCGGTTACATCACTCCGATGATGCGATTCGAATTCCCTACCTGGCGAATCGTAGAATACTTCGATCCCATCTTCCTTCGACTCTTCTGTTACAACGCTTTGTCTTTTCGAGTTTGAGTGGCTTCGAGGGAAGGGGTCGGTTTGGGGAGAAGAAAATCCGGGAAAAGGAGAAAGATACTGGGATGAAGTGTTCCGGTTGAAGGTTGAGGACTTGAAGGACTTTGATGACTATGGACTCCTTCTCTGTATGGGCCGAGTACCGAAGAGTCAGATTCGGGTCCTTTCAACCATCCCGCAAGAGCGAGGGCCGCTCTCTGCTCGCGAGGGATGAGATGGATTTTAGAAGATGGCTTGCTCGGTCCTCAAGAGGGGAGATCGTTTTATTGGCCAGGAAGAGTTTTTTGTCGTCCAGTGACTTTTTTGTCTTAGAATCTTCTCCGTTACCTCCGCAGAATATCACCCTTTGTGGTCCAGAGATACAGAACTTACGACTTAAGACTTTTGGTAGATTGAAAGAATGAAAAAGATATCAGAGAAGAATAATGAATGAAATGAAAAATTAAGAAGTAATCTTCACAGCGGATGCAGCTTGAATAAGGTATGTTGTTTACATTATACTGAATTGTATTCTTTAATATATGATTTTAACATTTTAAAATTATGATTTAATATGTTACGATAAATTTCTAATCTACATTAATAACTGATCTTCTATTTATGGACTTGTACAAACGTTCTTGGTTTCTTCGAATATTAACTTCATTGATCGAGCTATATTTTATTTCTTTTTTTTTTTTTTTCAAACCTTTATAAGAAGTGATAAATCTAAAAAATTCCAAAAGTCAAAAGTAAAAGTGTGAACGTTGGTTGGTACAGGAGGCAATGATGGTCAGTTGTGTTAATGTTTTGGCCGTTTTAACATTCTCGAATCTAGCGGAGTCGTTTTTAATCCAGTCTGGGTGGGTTGAAATTTATTTCATAGTGTATCCACGGAATGAATTTTGACTTTTCCTCTCTTGTTAAAATAGGTTTAGTATTTCTTCTAGAACAACCTCCCACCTTTCCTTATACTATAAATTGTAAAAGAAAAAAAAAAGGCTGGGACAGTTAAAAAAATAAAATAAAAAACTGTCAGAAAAGACTTTAGGTTTCTGTATTGATAAAAATTATATAGATTCAACAATCAATATTATAAAAATAAAAAAAATTTAACGTTTGAATATTTTTTTTTTCCAATTAGATCTTCTCTAATTTTTCTCTGTCTTTATATCTTCAACAAAACGTTAATATTTACATTGGTTTAATAAGTATAAATGTAATGTGTAAGGTTGTTAAATATAATGTTATTCAATGTATAATTTCGACGAACAACAAAAGCAGATATAAGTCGGAAATGGCTGCTACAAGGAGATTTATATTAAAATAATAAAAATGCGACTAAAACTGGCTGGATTACTATATTTTCGAATTTTAGAAAAGAAATCATTTCACTTTTTTAAAAAAGTCAAACTTCTGTAAATATATTTCGCACTTCGTATTAGCAGCCTATATGATGTCGTGTAGAGACAAGCTGGGACTCAGAAACTATTGGTGGTGAGGAAAAAAAAAGCAGTTAGCCAACCTTATATCAACTAATTCTGATTTTCACCTTCTACATTCTCAATAAAACTTCATATTAACAATAATAATGTCATATCAAAACTATAATGATGGCTGTTGATAAGAAACAAGCAGCAGTCATGTCAAAAATATTTTTGAAGATATGGCTTTACATGTTTTTTAGTAGTTCTAATGGAAATTTAAAAAAAAAAAAATGAGTTTAATATTAGCCGGGGAAGAAGTGGTTCATCATCATTGGAATCAGCAATTTTTTTTTTTTTTTTAAACTTATTTATTGAAAAATATTACAATTTGTCTCAAGGACATTTATAATAGTGCCCAGTGATCACATTCACACTCTATGTACAACAAATAAAATAAATTATACAGAAAAATAATATATATACAATAAATAAAATAAAATAACCTAAAAATAAATAAATAAAAAGAACACATACATACATACCTATATACAGTAATTTCAACATTAAATCATTTTTAAATATCATTCTATACATTCTTTATTTTCCATTAAATAATTGATATTTATGTTTTCCTACTTTAACATATCCACTTCAGGCCCGAATAACAAAGTAATTCTTTGTATGTGTGTGTGTGTGTGTGTATGTAACTCAATTGAAATGATGATATGTTAAACTGTTAGTAATTTTTCACTTAATATACTTGATTTTGTATTTTCTGTATATATGGTGTGAATGTTTTCATTTATCACTATAATTTTTTTTCCACGAGACAGAATATTACATATCTAAATAAATAAATAAAAAAAATATTTAAAAAAATATACTTGAATTGTTTAATATGAATTATTTATAAACGAAAAATAAATTAATAGATTGATAGATAAATATAAATTGAATGGATTAATAGATAAAGTGGAAAATTGTGCAAAATTTTAAGCTTACAACCATTTCAATCGAGGTCTTCTCGAATAACAGTTTTTTTTTTTTACCCGTTATTCTAGCCGAAAGCATAATACACAAAAACAATTATATAAAGCTTATTAAAAAGGAAATGAAAGATCATATTTTTTCAACCTTTTTGTTTCATGATTTTCCCCTCTCATTCGTCTTTCTTTTCTTTTCCACACCTTTTATTATCTACTGTATGTGTGATACGGTAGTGGAGATTCCACCATGAGGGATAGAGCGATGTATATTGATGAATGAGGTAAAGAAAGAGAATTTCATGGAATAGTGACGATCCTTAAGTTCCTACTAGAGCTTTAATAATTTAATAAAAGTCATTGTAAAAATAAGGTTTAAGACTCAGAGATTTTAAACCCGAAAATGTACGATTTTCGAGATGAACTCACTTCGATAGCCTCCTAGGTGACATAGTTATTACGGGATAATTTTTTTTTCGTAGTTCGAACGGGCTTTTGTCAGGTAGATGGACCATCACCCATGTTGTTCAACTTAGCCCTGGAGAAGGAAATAAAAGCAACATCACAGGAAAATGGAGGGGTCCATGTCGGAATGAATCATAAAATCCTTGAATACGCAGATGATGTAGCTGTCTTTGGAAGGAATCAAGAAGACATTAAGAAACTCGCTACAACACTGATAAGAGAGCCAGTGCAGACCAGCCTACAAGTAAATGAAGACAAAACAAAATATATGATAATAAGCCGAAATTTTCACCCCAATAACAGGATCTGCATAGAAGGAAAATCATTTCCGAGAATAGAAAAAATCTAACACCTTGGCTCCACAATAACATCAATGAATGACCAACGGGCAGAATTAGACCAGCGTATAACTAGTGCAAACAGAGCATTCTTCTCCCTCTCAGGTATTGAAATCCTAAAAAATATCCAGAAATCTCAAACTAAAGGGGGTACGATGCTGTGATAAAGCCAGTTCTAATATATGGCTGTGAGACCTGGACACTAGCCAGCATCCTAGAAAAAAGTATGCGAAGATTTGAGAGGAAAATCCTCCGCACGATAACCGGAGCGATCGGGGATCAGAGTACTAACACATGGAGAAGAAAGACCAATACAGAACTGCTTACAGAAACTGGTCCATCAATATCTCATAATATGAAGGCACGGAGGTTAAGATGGGAGGGGCATGTAGCTCGTAATAACTACGTAAAGAAGCCTCTACGTAAAAATGAATATCTCAATAGAAGGCAAAAGAGCACGTGGAATGCCAAAAAGCAGATGGATAGAAAGATTCAACAAAGATGCAATAGAGCTGCGTGCAGATAAATGGAAAGAAATAGTCCAAGATAGGCAGAGATGGAGCAGGCTTGTTAAGATGGCAAAAAATCAACATGATCTGTAATGTTTTTAAAAATTAAAATGTAGACCGATTTCAATACACAATTTCGTATATTCGACCAGAATTAGGAGGAATAGCTCAAGGCTGTTATCTCACACCATTGATATACACGTATGCACATACACGTCATACCATTTCCAACAATTTTATTATAAAAATTACGATATATACATATACATCCATTTCTGCTTTTTCTTGTTCTACCGAAAGGCACTTCATACCTTAAAATTAAAATGCCAAAAAGGAAAATGCAGAAACAAATTTGTATGTATATATATATATATATATTGTAATTTTATAATAAAATCGTTGTTGAGTAGGATAATTTCTAAATCATTATTAGAATGGTGGCTTTAATGATAAAAAATAAATTATAGCTGTTTTATGTTTTTGTTGATTGCATAAATTGATTTAGCATAATATAACATTTTTTATTTTTTAATTTATTAAGTATTACAACAATCTGTCTCTTGGACATTAGTTATAGTGGGGTAGGATAACATTCACACTATATGTACAAAAAATATAAAATAAATAGAAGCAAAATAATAATCAAAAGTATATACAATAAATAATAAAATAAAATAACCCAAAAAAAAGGAAATTAAAAATTAGCAAAAAACACATGCATATACAGTAATATAACATTAGTAGAATAGAACTTTTCCAAAGTATATACTTTGGTATTGTTATATACAGTAACAATATACTATGATATAATAAAATAATATCATAAATGATGTAAAATAATATTTCATAATGTAACCATACAGTTTGATAAAATATGATAATAAAAATAATATACTGTGTAATTGTTATATTTAATAGTATTTTTCATTACAGGTTCAAGAAATATATAAACAAAACTGCTGCGATCTTCAGGTAGTATTATCTACGCAGGTCATCCGATTCCACGCAGTCTTCGAGATCATCGGCGTCATATCTGCAGCGAGGTAGGAATTAGTTATAAGTATACATTTTATTAAATGATTGCATGTAATATTAGGTATTCCTAACAAATGAATCTGACGTTTAGAGGGAAACAGCATAACTAAGGTTAAATATGGTAAACCCATCCATATGTAGTATTCGAGATATTTCACACTAAAATATTAATCACTAAATATTTATTGTCATTTATTAAAATCAATTATAAAGGTCAGGATAAAATATTATTTACACTTTTTGTTATGAAAAACTGTTTATCCTAATTAGCCTTCCCTTATCCACATCCTCTTCGAGTTTTAATATTTAAACATTTCGGAAGCGGGGTCACCAAGTGAGTTAACGCTTGTGCAAAACACGCGCTGCCATGCAACCATATAAACCGAAGTTTATGTGATAAAATAATTACAAGTTCGGGGTCGGGAAGGGCTTTTAACCCTGCATTAATTTCCCGCCTTCTCCCCTGTTCCAGGAAAATCCTGTTTAGCCTAAAATGCGAGGAATGGATAAACAAAAACATACAAAAAAAATTCAAACGTTTCCCCACTCATAAGTCTACAGTTAACTTTCGGTCTTTTTTTCTATCAATTTACTATACAGGGGCGGGGGAACAGACCGGAATAACGCGTGTGCACAGAACCACGTTGCCCAGCAACCTGAGATAAGAT